TGTTTTTCCTACAGGTTGAAAAGTAAGAGAGAAGTAGCTGTTTTAAATACTTGAAGCCCTTGGACATGAGAGTGAAGTTAAGTGATGCCATGACTGGTTTGCAGGTTACAAAATAAAGTCCTGGCTTTCTTTTTGTATGGTCCCATATTAATGGCTCATCGACCTTGTGTCTCTTGCCCTTAAGACCTCTTCACCTCCGTTTTCCTTTTATTCTGTAGGTGAGACACAAAACTTCAGACCAGGTGATGGCTTTAAAGATGAACACGCTGAACAGTAACCGAGCAAACATGCTAAAGGAGGTCCAGCTCATGAACAGGCTTTCGCATCCAAACATCTTAAGGTACCTTTTATTTTTTTTCTTTGATTCTCAGGAGGGTAAATCAAGGTCTCTTTGAACAGTTTCTCTTCAGGTTTTGTGTATAACTGATTCATAATAGATCCATAGGGGAAAGAAGGACTTTGCATACTTTTTCTGTGGCTGTGAAGGCAGATGAGGGCTGCAGCGGGATGGAGGTCTCCGGTTGTCTTGGACATCCTTGCCACTGGGTTCAGGGCTCCCAAGTAGAACGTATGCCCACGTTGTTGAGTAGCTTGCACCTAGTAAGAACTAGTCACTTTTTAAAATCAGGCTTCCAGCTGAAATTGTCCCAGCAGGTGAATTTACAATGTGAAGCTTGAGCTATGATTTCTTCTTCCTAACTTAATTTGCATGGTTGAAGACATTGTGAATGGTCACAGATGAATTGATCTTTAAATGACTACTCCCTGTAAGCATGACTTTCACTGTACGTTACCTGCATATTGTGCAAAGCAGGATTCCTTTTGTTTTGCTTTTAAGTGCACTGTGCTCATTTTGCGTGTTCCCTTGTCCATGTGGGACAGGACACGAGGCACTGAGGAGTAGGAGCAAGAGTGTGATCCTGCTAACGCTTTTCCTTTTGAGGTTAAACAAGCCCGGGCTTTGCAGTATCTTGTCTTGTGCACGTTCCAAATGCTTCACAGCGTCTTTTGTTGCTGCCCTTTGAACCTTTTCAGCCGTGGCAAGCAGCTGACACGATTGTTCAGGTGAGGCTGTAACGTTGTGAGAGATCTAATGTGGTGATGATTATCATCTTTTTCACTATATCCAAGAAACCTGTTTTCTTTCTCTAACTGCTGCTGCTGTTGGCCAGGTCCCTTGACTGAGCTATTGTGAAGGCTCAAGTCGTTCCTCGGGGAGTTCTTGAAAGCTCAGAACGCCTTGGGGAGCTTGAAACAGTGTCATGTTCTCTTCCTCCTGCCGGCTGTTAATACAGGTCATGGTACCAGTTTGAGGCGCTGTCACTGTTAGTTTTTCTGCCCTGCCAAATGACTATTTTTTTCCCCTTTGGCAGTCAATGCGCGGCAATACCATACCCTGTTTGTCCCCTCTAATATTAAGTTACTTGAAGCCTTATCAGAAAAAACTCACAGAAAGGGTCCTATCAGCTCCTGGCTAACTTCTGCTTAGTTATTATTTTTTTTCTAAGAGAAATTTTCCCAGGTTAGAGAGGCATAATTTTTGCTCACAATAACCATGCTGGTCATAGGTTATCAGATTATGCTTATCCAAGGGTTGCACTAATCTACCCTTAATTAGACTGTCAATCTGTTTTCCCTGTAGCAAAGTGAAGTTTTAATTCCTGGCATCTCTCTGATTTTTCTCTCTCTGTCTCTCTCATATATATCTATCTTTTAATGGTACCGTAGGGAA